ATTTTTTACAGAGAGGAAGGGAGAGGGATAGAGAGTTAGAAACATCCATGAGAGAGAAATATCCATCAGCTGCCTCCTGCTCACCCCCCACTGGGGATGTGCCCACAGCCAAGGTACATGCCCTTGACCAGAATCGAACCTGGGACCCTTCAGTCCACAGGCCTACGCTCTAGCCACTGAGCAAAACTGGGCAGGGCAGGAAATCACAATTTTTAAACAATGTCACATATTAATGAAAAATCATTTCCATATATTTTCTCTTCCTGTGTTGTTTTTCTTTTAGTAACTCCTTTAGGGCACACTTAACTCTGGTATCAGTTTTCAAAAGAAACTGCTTACTCAGAAGCTCAGTCTGTATGGGTCTGGGTCTGAGCTTCTGAGTAAGCAGTGATTGTTCAATCCCTATGTAAGAAAAATAGTCACTGGGGGAAAAAATGAATTGTCCAATGTCCCACGGTGGACCTGTTGATGAGACAAACTTATGTTCACAGGCACAGCCCAAGATTCTCTGCAGCGAACAGGTCCCCTGTTCTGGGAACGTAGTTCAGAAAGACATTTTGCCACAGATCCACAGTGAATCACCTGGTGAGTAATATGCCGTTGGAATCTGTGAGTTTAGTGAAGTCTTCTCTTCATGGTGGGTTGGAATACAAGTGTCCAGATACTTACACTAATGTCTTATAGCAAAACAATGTGGCTATTGCTTAGCAGTACTTCTTTTGATATTTACAAAAGAACGGAATTAAAAGAAAGGAATAAGCATGACTTTGTGGTTTATATGTTTTTATAATAAAATTCTCTACTCTTTGTTTCAAAAATCAGAGATGATTATGCTGCCCTGCTACGGGTATTATTGGGCAGCACACTATATATGTGAATAAAAATGTGAAATGATTGTTTCTTGAATATAATAGAAACCGATTAAACATTTGTGGACTCACTATAATGAATAATCTAACTCCAAGGGAAATACAAATGTTTCTTTTGCTGATAAGTTATATATAACTGTGCTATTATAAGTGTATACTTATATATCAATATTTTGTGTGTTAAAATAGTAAAATTATCATTGGATAATTGCAGCATATATCAGGCTTTTTTCTTTGGCATTTTGCATGGGGTCCTTTTTATTCTAAACTTCCTGATGTTAACTTTAAGTACAGTCATTTTCTCCAGTATAAGGCTTTTACGATGATAAAATGGAAACAATCTCCATTGGTTTCAATATTATAATGGCATTGGACCACTTTTTAATTTGCAGAAAAGAAAACTCACAGCAATATACATTGAAAAACAATTTTCAGCCACATTCAGAATGTGCTAAGTTTTGTTTCAATCTGACCAATTTAGAAAATATGAATGTCTTTTAAATAAAATAATCTCTTTGTTTTGCTTCTGTGTCTCATATATTAGTTTTTATCTGAAAGGCGTAGTAATAAGAGGGCCATCACTGTCCCTGTGAAGTAAATTGAGATTTTTTTATTTCCTTTTTTGGTCATGTGACTCTATTTCTTAACTAGTGTGACCAATGTGGTTTAAAATAAAAATTATGCTATTACTAATGAAAAGCGTGTTGGCAGCTATGTGCTGGTAATAGCCAAATGTCACAGAGCACTCATTTTCCTCTTAGTTTGGTGATTGTGAAAACATTTTAATAAAGAAATGATGGAATGGTTAATGTTACAACAAAGTAAAATTTTACTTTGATTTACTGAAAAGATACACAATAATAAGCAGCCAATTCATTATTAGTCACAAAACATAGCAGTTAGGCATCAAATAATTTTTCTTCTACCTTTGGAAGCTAATCGAGATTTCAGGCACAATACAGGATACTGGAAAAAAAAAAAACACCCACATTTTACAAAATTAATGGTAAATTAGATTTAAGCAACAGTTTCAAAATGGAAAAAAAGAAAAAGAGTTTGAGAAGAGACGAGATATCATCATAACACTAAACAAACTGGAAGATGTTTCAATAGCTTTGTTATTCACAAATTTGACTAAAATAGTGCATATTATGATTATCAAGAGATTATCATTTACTACTGAACTAGAAGCACAACATAAACTATGGTTATTAAGAGGATTTTAATTATAAGTTTCATTAAAGTTATTGGTAATCCAAGTTTATTACGTCTGCAACATTTGAGTAGACAAACACATGATGCAAGTGTGCCCCCCTGTGGCTACAGACTAGTTTGTAAGACTGTCAGAAAAGACCTGCATGGAAAGAGAGCCTTAACTGGGTCTATTCTCTAGTGAGCACTTACTCCATCCCAGGCAGAGGGCTATCTCTCCTGTTTTTAAAGTTAATCAAAGGTAGAAGATTCATAATTTCTCTTACAGTTCCTACAAATATTTTATTTTTAGTAGCCATATATGCTAATCAACATATCCAGCTCTGATCCTGAGGTAGTGTAACATAGTAAAAACACATAAATCAACACAAAGCACTTTTCCTCATATACATATTGTTAGATTAAAAGTCAAGCCTGAGTGATTCTCTGCAAGTACCTTAAAATACATTTTGTGATTAAATAGGATAATGGGTCAAGGAAAACATTGTAGTAGGCAGATCCATGACCTGGAAAAGTAGTTTGTCCATTTGTGTCATGTATGTAAAAATTGATATCTACACTAATAAAAGACAAAGATGCTAATTGACCGTACCTTTGCCATGCCCAAGCCACGCCCACCAGCCAATCAGAGTGACTGTATGCAAATTAACCCAACCAAGATGGCGGCTGGCAGCCACAGAGCTGGAGCAAGCAGGAGGCTTGGTTGCCAGGGCGATGGAGGAAGCCAAGCTTCCCGCCTGCCCTGAGCCGGCTGTGGCCTCCGCTCATGGCAACAAAGTTTCAATTATAGAAAACAAATAAATCCCAGATACCTGCTTCCAGCCAGCCTCCACTGGGAGCTTGGGTGGCTGGGGCTGTGGCCAGCCTGCAAACAGCCATCAGCTCCTCACCCAGGATGGCCACACCCTCATGGGGTGAGGGTCTCCTATGGGGGGCTTGGCCAGCCTGCAAACAGCCATGCTTTGAGAATTGACTGTTAGTGCATCACAGCTGCCAGTTCCTTGGAAAACTGCCCTCCAACCAAGATTGAGTGCCATAGGGTACAAACTGCTCCCGCTTTGCTTCAAGTATGGACAAACCAGTTCAATTTGTGCTCCCGAGAGTCCCCCTGCAGTTTCAAGAAAGTAACACTCCAGTTGAGATCCCATCCTTGCTCAGCCTTTTCCCTTTGTCCTTTTCTGTTTTTCTCACTCCTATAGCCCAAAGATCACTTTGCAAATAAATCACGTTCACTAAATCCCCATCCCAAGTTCTGTTTCCAAGGAACTTCCACCTAAGATACATAGGTGTCATGAAAACATCAAACTGGCTGTTAAATAAAATTGAAGAGATGGTATGAAGGAAGAGTGGGAAAATAATTGTATTAGTAAGATTTTTAAATGAAGCTACAACATTGGGCATAACCTACAACTTCAATTTGCCATTTATTTTCTATGCATTTGAGAGTCGTTTATTTTTAAAATGGAGACTATAATCTCACAATCCAGTGTACAGTTGCAATGTTTTATTTATATATTGGAAGAGTTGGGGGGAGGGAAGGTTATTTCCTAACCCTGTCTTTAACTCTTGAGTTTTTTTAACATAAATAAATAAATAAATAAATAAATAAATAAATAAATAAGAAAAAGAAGAAAAAAACATGTTCTAAAACAAGTCTACAAATCTGTTGAGTTTTTTCCTTCCTTTTTCTTTTCCTTTTTCCTCCCCAGCACTGAAGTCTAGAACAAATTCATATTTTTAAATGTAAATGAGTCTCAAAAATAATACTCAAAACACTATTTTTGGAGGTCGGGGGCATTCCATGATTGTTTGTATTTAGATCCTCACCAAGGATATGTTTATTGATTTTTTAGAGAGAGGAAGGAAGGGAGAGAGAGAGAGAGAGAGAGAGACATCCGATCTATTGCCTCCTGCACGAGCCCTGATTGAGTATCAAACCCGCAACCTTTTGCCACATGGGACAATGCTCCAACCAATGGAGCCACCTGGCCAGGGCCCTCGGTGCCTTTCTTTATTGGGATCCTGGCCTGTCTGCCTTGAGGGTCCCAATGAGCAGAGGAGGGTGCTGGGAACTGCATCGGGCCACAGCAGGAGGAGCAGCAGGGGACTCCCTGGAGGGGTGGAGGTGCCCAGCAGGCTCCGGAGCCCCGCCCTGACGAGGGTCACCAGGCCAGGCAGCAGGTGTGGGCCAGACCTTGGTGAAGACTCGCCCCGGCTCTGATCAGCTGTCTCCCCATGAGATCGACCATGTCCCTTGTGTCCCCTGGGCTTTGCTGGGTTCTGTGCTTGGGGTGAACATGCTCCATCTCAAGATAGTTGTGAATACTGGTTTAAACGCTTTAAAAGTGATGATTTCTATGTTGGTCTTCAAACTTTTTCGGTTGACCTGGACATTCTTTGTCTTTCACATAGAAATCGTCACCATAAGCTTCCCGAAGTATACGATAACTTTCAACAGCACTTTTCTTCAAAATAAAGTAATGAATTAAAACTTCCTGCAAATGCTCTTTTTTTGGCATGAAATTTGACATTTTTAAGTGTAAAAATATCTAGGATGTTAACACCTTCAGAAAATTTGACATATGAAGTTTTGAAGCTTGTTATCAATACAACAAAATAGCATACATATCAAAGTGCATATATATCAACATATGTGTAACTCCATCTATTGAAAAAAATCCTTACTATTAACCGGTACACCCAGTAGGTGTTCGATAAATAACACAAGAGAACAGAGCATTCAATCAGACATGAATCCTAAAGACCTTCTAGGCCTATGACCATTTCACAAATGGAAAAACAGAGGCCCAGGGAGGCATGAACGTGACTGGCCCAAGCCACCTGCCTGTTGCTGGCAGAGCTGGGCCACCACCCCTGAGTTCAGCGCTCTCTCCTCAGTCAGCTGTTCTGAAGACCCCCTCAGGGTCTCCCTGTCTCTAGCCCCATACCCTTGGCTCTGACTCTGCCCAGGCCCCGCCTGTCTTCCCAGTCCCCAAGGAGCTCTGCACAGGAGGCAGGGCCCTGGGCACAGTCCAGCCACTGCTTGTCGCTGGGACACACACCAGGCATTGGGCCTGAGGACACAGAAATTGACAGCCCAGCCCAGACTCACTCAACTCTCCCCCAGGCTCCCAACCTGGGAGAGGTACTAGCTCCCGGTACAGCCGGGGAGGTCACAGGGCTGCACAGGAGCTCAGGAAGAGGGGTCCCTGGGGTTGACAGGGCCCTGGGTCAGGTGGGGATGAGAACTGAGGGCATGGGTGCAATGGGAGAGGTGAGTCCCCAGGGCCCTCACCTGCACAGGGCTGCAGGCCCACAGGTGGAGAAGTCCACAGGGCTGTTCGGGCCAGTGCCTCGGGTGCAGTTTCGGAAGCCACCACCACAGGGCACGGAGCACAGAGACCAGGGGCCCCACTCCCCACTGGGACCTGGAGTCACCCCTGATCACTGTGGGCCCTGCCCTCTGACACCCAGCCCACCTTCTCCTCCCACCTACACACCTGGGCACTTTCTCCCCTGGATCCCAGACACCCTAGATCCGTGGTCGGCAAACTGCGGCTCGCAAGCCAAATGCATCTCTTTGGCCCCTTGAGTGTGGCTCTTCCTAAGCCTTAGGCGTACCCTAATTAAGTTAATAACAATGTACCTACCTATATAGTTTAAGTTTAAAAAAATTGGCTCTCAAAAGAAATTTCAATTGTTGTACTATTGATATTTGGCTCTGTTGACTAATGAGTTTGCCGACCACTGCTATATCACCCCCTCCCTTCCCTCATCCATCCCTAGGGGACCTCACACCTTCTCTGGAGGCTCTGGGATTTGGCCTGAAGCAAGGCTGGCCTCCAGGGAGGTCCCCTCTCAGGGCTCCCTGGGGACATCTTTGTGGCATCTCTTAGGGAGGGCCCTTGGACCTCTCTTGGGGTGCACAGGGAGTGGGAGGATTTGACTGGAAGTGTTCTCATCTCCTCTCTGGAGGGTTCCTGGACCTCGGTCCCAGCACTTACCTTGACATGGCCGCCGGCTACAGAATTCAGCCTCTATATTGGGGCCCTGGCATGCAGCACCCACAAAGGCTGCTGGGGGCGCAGTGCCTGCCCGGAAACGCCACCGGATCCCTACGTTGCAGCTGCAGCTGCAGAGACTCCACGGGGTCCAGGGGCTCCAGCCACAGGCCACTGCCAGGGTTGGAGTGGGGGGAGGGGCACAGTAGGTGTGAAAGCAGATCAAGCCATCCCTAGACCCCCAATTCCCTGGGGAATCATTGAGGACCCCCAGAGTTGATCTCTGAATGGGGTCAGCATCCCCTCTGGTCCCTGAGGGCCCTGCGGGTACCTGGGCAGGGCTTGGAGGTGCATGCCATCTCGCCAGAGTCACAGGTGCTGCAGAGAGAAGGCCCATGATGGCCACAGTCAGTCCCTGCCCCTGGAGCTCTGGGTACCTGCCCCAGGGGAGGCGGCTGGGCTACCATGTCCACCGCAGAGGACAGAACTGGGGGTCTGGGCAGTAGAGCGAGTTGCCCAAGTCCTACATGAATTTCACATGTGACCCAGGATTGTCACTAGGAGCATCAGCCCACCTTCTGTGAGCTCCCAGACGCCCTGGCACCAGGCAGCCCTTGATCTCGTGTTTTTATCAAGAAGTTACCTTTTCATACTTTATATTCCATTTGTATTTATTAAACAGTGTTTAGAACTTTGAGTGACTATCCTGGGACAGGTAGGAGCAATTTAGAGAGAGTAGGTCCTAACTTAATCTCCTGGGGAGGAAAATGGTGTACTTTTCTCCAATAAATGTTTTAAAGCCCACCTGTCAAAGAAAAACAGTCTGAGAGAAAAAATCAAAAGGTAAAGGGGCAGAGGGAGGAAGGATGACGGAGAAAATTGAGGGAGGAGCCGGATGATAAAAAAAAAATAAAAAGGAAAATGAAGAAAATGAAATGACATTGAAAGAAAGGAAAATGAGAAAAGAGGGAATGGGGTTAGCTTGCCCTCTGGTGGCAGGGCCTGGTATAAGCTTTGAATACTGGGTGTTTCTAGGTTTTGGATTAGAAATCAGTGGAAATTCAGGAAAGAGAAGCAAAAGTCATTGAAGGAATAGAAGCCCCTACCCAGGCTCTAGTCCAGTGATGGCGAACTTATGACACACGTGTCAGAGGTGACACGCGGACTCATTTTTTTGGTTGATTTTTCTTTGTTAAATGGCATTTAAATATATAAAATAAATATCAAAAATATAAATCTTTGTTTTACTATGGTTGCAAATATCAAAAAATGTCTATATGTGACATGGCACCAGAGTTAAGTTAGGGTTTTTCAAAATGCTGACACGCCAAGCTCAAAAGGTTCGCCATCACTGCTCTAGTCCCATCATAAATCGCTTCACTTACCTGAGCCTCAATCTTCCCATAAGTCAAATGGGCATGACAATTCCTTACAGACTCTCATTCACTCTGGCACCATGGAGGCATGCTGAACACACACTCCCACCCCCATCTCCAGTGCATGAGTCCACACCTGCTCATCTCTGGAGCCTCCAAGCCCCTGTCCCTCCTCCGCCACCTTTTGCCCTGACTCTGGTGGCTTACCAGTTGTTACAGGAGTTGAGGTGAGCCACTGCTCCCGGTTCGTAGACACACCTGTGCATCTGGCAGGGGCACCGAGTGCGGGGTAGGCAGCTGGCGTTGTGCAGGAAGAGGCCAGGGGGGCAGGTGCAGCCAGGGGCACAGAAGCTGATACATTCCACCCCTGGGCCTGCGCCAAGGCACAGCCGAGAGCTCGGACCCCCCTCTTGGCGACATTGCTCGGCTGAGCGGAACACCATGTCCCTGGGCACTGGGCTGGATGGAAAGACAGAGCTGGTCTCAGCAGGAGTGAAAGCAAAGGGCTGGGGAGGGAAGGACAGAGGGGAACCTGCATGCAGGTGACTGGTGACGGCCTGTTGACAGGATGGAGAAGCCGGAGGAGGCCCCCTCCCTCGGGCCACAGCTGGTACCTGGGCTCCGGTGGGTAGGAGCTGGAGGAGACACAGGAAATCCAGCAAAGTCTCTCTTAGCTCAAGAGAGGTGTGCGAAGGCGGGGCTAAGGAAAGGTCAAATCCCCAGGGACTGGCGGGAGAACAACTGGGAGGGACCGGGCACCCGTGCACGGCTGCGTGTTGCAGGCCCTGGTCTGGCTGTGGGGTCCCTGGCACTCGGCGTCCCGGGCAGCCGAGCCAGCTGCCCAGCCAGAGCAGCTGCGCCCACGTGTCTGGATGCCTCCATCACGGGGGGCTGAGCAGGTGGACCAGGGGGGCCACAGACCCCAGGTGCTTGGCACTGTCAGGAGGAGGCAAGTCCACATCAGGACAGGACAGAGACGTGCAGGGGATGAAGCACAGGAGGGGCTGGAGCCGTGTGGTATGCAGGGTCTTCACCAAAGCTCCAACCCCACAAACACCCACCCCTCCAAGGCTGCCCCAAACTCTGTTTCAGGCCAGGCCCACCCTGTTCATCTCACACGGGGCTTCCTGGGGGGAGGCTGGGGTGGGGAGGAGCTTTGGGACTGTCCCCTCCCAGGTTTGCTTACACCCTGCCCACAGGGTCATTCTTCTCCTTTGCTCCTCACCCACCCTGACACCCCAGCCACCCCGGGGGCAGGACATACCTGGGCACACAGGCCTGGGCACACAGGGCCGGAGAGGTGGGGGCTGCTGGGGCTCCGGAAGGACCACTGAATGCTGTGGCCCCCACAGGGCCCCAGGCATTCAGCCCAGGGGGGCCAGGGTGACCAGCCACAGTTCACTGAGAAAGGACCAAGAGTCAGGGGCCGGAGCAGGGGTGGGTGCCTGGCTGGTGGGACCCCTCGGTCAGGGCCAAGGGTGAGACCTCACGGGCACAGTCGGGGTTGGGCCGGCAGCTCCGGGGCTGCCCGTCTTGGCAGATGCAGAGCTGGCAGTCAGCCTTGATGTGCTGCCCAGGCCAGTAGCGGGCACCATCCAACAGGCAGGGGCACTGCCAGGGCCACACACACTGCCCCTCACTGCCCAGCACTTGTCCTTTGGGGCACCAGCAGCCTACGAAAGGCTCGGCGTGAGGCACCCCTGCAGAGAGCTCAGCTCTGGGCATGCCCACCACGCCCAGAGCCTAGAGGCCCCTCACCTGGGCCGCTGCAGGGCCGGTCAGCAGGGCACACCGTCTGATCAGAAATGTCATCACAGGTCAGAGGGCAGGGGGCACAGGGCCAGAACACTAGCTTCCCAGAGCAGGTGGCATTGGGGCAGCCATCCTGAGGGCAGGGCCCGGAGAAAAACAAGAACCAGAGGTCAGGGAGGGTGAGTGCTGGCAGCCCCTCCACGTTCCCCGCACCATTCCCTCCGCCCTTCCAATCACGGGTCTGGTTCCACTGGCGGGTGCTGTGAGGGCCCCCAGGCAGCATGACGCAGGCCTGGCTCCCATTCTGGGGTGGGTGGCACTGTCGCTGCCGGATCATGGTGCCCCTGCATGGCTCAGAGCACAGGGACCAGGGAGACCAAGAGGTCCACACACCGTCCACTGTGAGGAGGGACCCACAGGCAGGGCACCATGAGGTCTGGGTAGGAGCTCAGTGGCCTTCCTCACCCAGTCTCTCTGGGCCCCACCAACTCCACTGCCCTCCCAGGTGCCCGGCTCTTCACCTGGGCAGGCAGCCGTGAAGCAGGCCTGAGTCTGGTGCTCGGGGGCCGGGGCAGAGCTGCAGCACCGGGAGCCTGGGCGGGGAACAGTGGCGGCTCCGGCCCTGCACCCCAGGCCCACACGTGTGGCTGCAGGACCCCCACGGGCTCCAGGGTCCCCAGGCCCCACAACCCTGCTCTTCTGGGGAGAGCTCTGCCTCTCCTGCCATTTCACAATCAGGCTTCCCATCGCACACCTGGGGAAGGAACGGGTCAGGGCCCCTTTCTCGTTGGGTGGCACAATGGCTCTGCCCCCTGCACCACCACTCCCCACCCCTCACCAGCTGGAAACTGATGCAGAGGCCGTCTAGGCAGGAGTATTCCAGGCAGGGAACTCCTGTCCTGCTGGGGCCTCCCGGGACGGGCAGCCCCTCTGAAGGGAAGAGGAGATAAAACACAGTCAGGTAGGGAAAGAGAGCCACCCCCTGCCCCCACCCCACCAGCCTTGGCCTCCATCAGGGAAACCAAGTTCTATGCCACAGGCCAGCTCATCCTGGCCCTGGGGACAGTCAGAGCTGCTCAAGATGCAGGCACAGCTGGGGAGCAGGTCCCTGCATGGGGGCAGCTGGGTGGAGCCTGTGGGCACAGTAAGGGTACTGCTGTGCGCCTACCCCTCCCGTCCTCTCCCTGCAGAGGGTCTGTAGGGGGAGAGGGATTGGAAAGAGGCAGAGCCAACCTGGGCCCTGCACCTGGCTCAGAGATGCTTTGGGGAGGGGCCCAGGAGGGGCAGCCAGGCACAGGTGTGAACAGTAGCCTCCCCTACCCAGGGAGGAGGCTGGACGTGAAGGGCGGACTTGCAGGGGCACAAAGGGAACCCCTAAGTCTGGTGGGGAGGAGCTGGGGGTAGCCCTCAAACAGGCCCACTCCCCATGCCCAGAAAGCACCCCCCTCCCCTTTTATCATTTCTTGCCCAAATGTAGGCAAAGACAAAAGCCCTTTTCTTCTCTCCCTTGGGCCTGGGGGGAAGGGCAAGAGTTCTCAAAAAGTTTCATGAAAAAGATCAAAGGAGACTGATGCCCCAGACCTAAGTCACTCTCTAGCTGGCCACCCCAGCCGCAGGGAGCGAGGGTCCACTGGGGTTGGGGTGGTGGGGGTGGAAGAGATGGCGGGAGGGGCTGCGCAGGAGGACAAGGGCTCACCGCAGGCGTCTGGGCCCTCGGCCGAGCCGTCGGGGCAGAGGGGCACGCCGTCGCACCGCTGCGCGGGGGCCACGCAGTGTGGGCCGCGGGCACAGGCCACGTGGTGGCGCGCACAGGGCCCCCGCAGCCGCGCTCCTCGCTACCGTCCGCTCAGTCCTCCTCGGGGTCGCAGCGCCAGCCCCGCGGGGTGCTCTCGCCGCTGCCGCACGGGAATTCCACGGGTCGGCAGGGGGCGCTGCAGCGGCACCGCGCTAGGCCCGGCCGATAGACAGCGCTCCCCAGCCGGCCTGGCCCTTCCTTCTCCCCCCACCCCGCTCCGCTCCAGCTACAGGCCCGCCCGGTCCCTGACCTGAGCCCGGCCCTCCCCCCCCCTCCGAAACCTCCCCGAGTCCATTCGCTTCCCCATTTTGCCCTATTTTTTTTCCAAAAGCTGTCCCCCCTCCTCAGGGAATTTCCATTACCCCCCCCCCCCCTCAGCCCAGAGGGGCCTTGAACGTCAGGAAATAAGGTTTGGACTCTTTCAGGCCCCTCAAACACCTTCACTTCTTTCATTCTGGGGTCTTCAGGAGGCTGGGTCGGTGCTCTGTTCCTTCCAGTCCAGCACGTGCCCCAAATCCTCCCTCTGAGATGCCCTCCTGTCCCCCGACCCCCAGGCCTCCACACTCCAGCTTTCTCCCGGAGGAGACTCACCAGGGCTGGTGCTGGCCCGGGGAGCTGGTGCCGTCTCCCATGAGCCAGCGGAGGGACTGGGCAAGGTGCCAGCAGGAGGCGTGGGCAGAGAGG